ACAGATTATACTCATAGAGTATGTACGTACCTGAAGAACTGTCAATAGAAACTCATTATGAATGTACCTGTAAAACACATACTGATAAATTCCACGGTGTTCCAATGAGGAATTCTAATTAGGAACTGGTGACAAGTGTATCTGCAAAACCGAGTTTTACTCATAGTGTTCCTGGGTAATTGTTATTAGGAATTGATTATGAATGTACCCGCAGGACACATTTCGAACTCATAAAGGCTATTGTGTTTCAGTAAGCAATTTCGATTAGGTTTTGACTATGAATGTTTCTGCAAAACTTATACTGAAAGAGTTTTATCGAATTGCTATAAGAAACGCATTATGAATGTACCTGCAATACACATTATAAACTCATAAATGCCACGGTACTCCAATGAGAAATTCGAATTAGAATTTGATTGTGAATGTATCTACAAAACAGAATTTATACTCAAGGAATTCTCATGGAATTGCTGTTAGAAACTCATTATCAAACCCATGAATGCCACGGTATTTCAATAAGAAATTCCAATTAGGAACTGATTATTCATGAATCAGCAAATTAGAGTTAATACTCATAGACTTCGAAAAAAATTGCTATTAGGAACTGATTATTAATGTATCTGTGAAACACAGATAATACTCATACATATTTCAAACTGATGAATTCTACGGTGCTTCGATAGGGCGGAATTCCAATTGGAAACTGTTGATAAGCGTATCCGCATAACAGAGTTATACCAGAAATTATACACTCGTTATACTCATAGACCTACCTCCTCTCCTCTTCTCCCTATCCTAGTATGCTTGATATTCTTCGAACATTATAGAAATTCTCTTTCGTGCGCTCCAGGAGATGAAAAAATAAGATAAATCTCATTATGTTCCCTGTACATATAATGGACACGCGATGCGATGACGATGCGATTATGGGTCATTGGGGTCAGTTAGCCGGTTATTAGCACAAATTCAAAAATTGCACAATTACAAAATTTTGGTTCTCTTCGAGCTTTCCTATTGATGCTCTACAACTTTTAGAGAGCGTGGTAGTCAGTTTTATCGAATCGTCGATATATCAAATAACGACATTCTGGCAGAAAAATATCAATATTGTGATGATATTCTCCTCTAAGATGCTCTAGAACATCATCAGGAAGGCAGGAATACCACGTACCACGATCGCCCAGTAACACGCGTCCCGGAGCACTCTCGAACATTCCAATGATTCTAACATGTACATACCTATCAGCGTATTTCCGAACAACCAATATGTGTCACGGCGACACATAACCTGACAGAAGAATCTGGAATCATCTCGAAAGAATCATGGAACAATTAGAGAGATAGAGAGATATTGTGCTAGAAGCTTTTGGAACAAAAGAAGGGTACGGAAGATCATTCGAGAACGTTCGACAAGCAAATCCTGCCTCCCTGCCAAGGGATCTGATATATAAGGACGGCCGGACAGTTGCCGTCGTCAGTCAAACAAGTAGCGAGTGTCAAAGATACAGTCATATACCGCGTGATATAAATCGTTTCACGTTTATTAAATAGTAGTTATAAGTTTGTTATTTAGTGTTCCTTGAGTTAAAATAAATCAGTTCGAAAATAAATAGTGTCGTGTTCACTGCACAGAAATAACGTAACAATTTATTGAATATTCGATTTATGATAATATACTCTGTGTCCCTATACAGGGTATGTCACGAAGAGCTTACACTATCTTTATATCGAGAATCAATCGCGAGAAATCCATGAGAATGTGCATGCTTATATTTCAGAATACGCTCTTTCCATTTAAAATATTTTTGACAATGCAGTGTTGCCGCTTCTACTAGAAAGTAGTAGCAACATCGATATTTCAGATGAAACACCCTGTATTTCATCGCATTTTCAGATTTTCCCTGAAGAGCTGATTTCATCGATGTATCACACTTTGGCTCTATCGAAAAAGATAACAGAGATATAGGGTGTTCAAAATCGAGATTTTTCAACTTGATGATTTTTTTTGTGTCGAAACTATTCATTATCGGCCAAAACAACTCACATGTCCCTATCTCAACTTTTGATTCACTATTTACTGATAATCAATCGGAACAGATACTGGGTGGTTCAAGATTCAGAATTCTGATCACCCTGTATCTGTTCCGATTAAATATCAGTAAATAGTAAATCAAAAGTTGAGATGAAGGACATGAGAACCGTTTTGGCCGATAATGAATATAGTTTCGACACAAACAAATCCCAAAGTTGAAAAATCTCGATTTTGAACACCCTTTATCTCTGTAATCATTTCTAATAGACCCAAGTTTTATGCATCGATGGAATAAGCTTTTCAGGGAGAATTTGAAAAAGCAATGAAATACAGGGTATTCAACTTGAAATAACAAAGTTGTTGCTACTTTTTGATAGAAACGGCAACACTGCATCGCTGAAATTATACGAAATGAAGAGAACGTATTATAAAATATAAGCATGCATATTTTGATGGATTTCTCCCAACTGATTCTTAATATAGAGATAGTGTAAGCTCGTCGTGACATACCCTGTATATATTAATTTTTTAACGAGCACGGAATTTACTTAGTCATTTCCAACGAGAATGAATTTTCCAGCATTAGCATCAACCGTAGCCTGTATCAGATAATGTCAGCGACATTTTTTATTTCTTCCGCTTGATTTTCTCTATTAGACAAAGTTCCAAAGTTGTCATTGCTTGGAATTTGACATTTTCCACTAGGAATTGACTTATCGATCGAACTGTGCGAATTTGTGTTATAGCCGTAGAACAAGTTCAATTCCTCATCAGAATAATACTGGGAATAAGTGACGTTATATTAGACCCGATATTCTATACCGAATGATGGAAACTGAAGCGTTGCAAAATAGTTTATAATATGAATGCTAAAAATGCTAAAATGCTTCATAATAATATGTGCATATATCTTCACTGCATTTTATGTAACAATCAGTAATTCAGTAAGGAAATACATAATTTTGCATAATGTTTATATATAAAAGTTCCCGCAGTCAGCAGGGTTGCCAATGTGTGAGGAATTCATTATACTCAATCATCTCTATCAATGATTCGTGAGGGTTGACTCAAATTAGAGGATTTAGTGAAATTGTTTGCGTGGTTTCCTGACTCTTTGCCGTGCCATTTTCACCAGATCAGGTATCTTTGTTCATTTGCGGGCAAATCATATCATATCATATCATGCACTTTCTCTTTCTATATGTGATGTGCCAAATGACATGTGAAGCAAGCTAGGTCATGTATTATATTAATGCCAAAACGTCAGATGATGTGCCAAATGACATGTGAAGCAAGCTAGGTCATGTATTATATTAATGCCAAAACGTCAGATGCCACTAAATATTTTTATAAACCCAGCAAACACAATTACATCACAGAGATATCGCAGTTGTGTGCCAATTGTCACTTGCGATATCGCATATTATGTCGCATAGACGTCACTGCGATGTTGGAGGGATGTTATTAAGTCCAACTCAAGTTTCATCCATGTGACGTCGCTGCGATAAGTTCTCTGCGTTATTTGTGATTAAACTACGATATGATGCGAGATGACATCGCAGTAAAACGTGAAAAACATTCCTCAGACATGGTGTGATAATAACACCACTGACCTCTGCTGCCATCTGATATTGATTGTGCATTGTTGTGACTGGTTGGCGGTCGCTCGGATTTCCTGTCCATTCTATCGTCTTTCCAGCGATTCAATGCATCAAGTGCATTTTTTGGTTTCTGTATATGACTTGTTTCACTGAATTCTCAGTACCACAGACACAGTTCTGCCTTCAAAATACTCTTCCGAAAATCCTGGATATCATGACTATAAATTCCTAAATTTATTAATCATGTGGAAAATTTACTGTTGGTAGAAATACCAGGATTTTTTTCTCAGAATTGGCTTATGTTTGGCAAATTGATCTTCTGAATCAGATAAAAATGAATCAACCCATGGTATGAAAACCGATTTTTGATAATAATCAATAGCACTTTCAGCGTTTGCTTTGATACCAATCTTAGGATTTTCATTTCATTGTGGAATATATCAGCGATCTGTTCTGCCTCGTCGAAAATATTCTTGAATTTTACGCTCTAGCATTTTATCACACGTATTTTTAATAGTGGAGATTGTCTCTTCCATCGCAAACACAAGATCTGAATTCTCAAGTTGAATACGGATTTCAGATAAAGGAAGACCAGCTGTATCCGAGAACAATGAAATGATGAATTGTGACCGGAACAAATCAAAGAAGACAAGCATCTTGAAGTTTGGGGGGAACCGTGCCCCTGTGACGGCTGTGATCCCCCTCTGGGTGCGCCACACTTGACAACAGTAAATAAATAATCATATTCAGTACTCTCCCTAGTAACAATTGATTTATGTTCTCATCTTCAATCCAATCACAAATAAATTACTATTCCTATCGTTTGAAACATCAAAAAATCTTCTCTTTTTCCCTGAGGTCCTTATTAAATAAGTTTACGTCCGATCATGGCAACCTATAGAAAAAATTAATTAGGTGTAATTGTTGTCTCGGAAATCTATACAATTTACAAGGTGTTCCATTTAAAAACCGGAATGCATCGGAAAGTGATAAATATTTATGCGAAAACTCTGCTCTTCCCATACAAATTTCCTATACCATATATAATTTTTTTACAGCTAATATTGTATATAGGTATAGAAGTTCTGACTCCCCTATAATATATTTCATTTGTTGGCACCCAGTATATTTCAAGAGGATTTGAAACTTTTACCTGTAATCTTCATTGAGAAAGAAGAAATCTCGGAAGTAATGAAGGAAACGTAAACTTCACAAAACAAGGTGACATTTTTTTCATATCGGTATTTCATTTTCGTCGTTGCAGGTATTTTTGTATTGGGGAGTTGAGATTTTGATGAATATTCCTCAGCGAAGAAATATATCTGTAACGAAATTATTAAACAACGGAATTTTTTGAACACTCAATATTCGAACTCCTCAAGAAATGTTCTCTCTCTCTATGGAGGGAGGAAAGCTCGAATTTATGTCGCCTCAGTCTGCGAAACGTCATAATCCGCCACTGATTGTTTGACATTTGTTTTGAACAGGCAATTCATCAGGCACTGCAGCTGATGTTGGGGGACATGTTAATGAAATATAATGAATGGTAAGAAGGCTCGTATTAAGCTACCTCTAGTTATCATTACGTGATCGTTGCATTCGATACTATAACGCAAAACGGCTTGATGAACACTTTCTGGCACCAACTCCATTCAAATATTCATCTGCGCTTTCAGGAAATCGTGCAAGATACGGCAAACTCGCAACAAGATGCGCGAGCCAGCGGTTACTGCGGTGTGAGCGAGACTCGAGACCATACGAGAAGTCGAGACCGAGACTACCGAGAGTGACGGAGACATGAGGAGCCTTGTTTTCGTGGCATCTCTCTCTACCAGTTTATATACGATTTCTAAACATATTCTTCAACAGTGGTATAATAAGTCTTAAGGTGTATGTCTATGTTTATCGGGATAGCGAAATAGTGAGTCGTGATTATGTTTTCTTCAAATAAACTGGCAGTGAATAGGACCAGCCGAGAAATCGGCAGAGAAATCAGAAGACTGATATGCAAAACCACCAGTGCCCCAAATAGCGATGCTATTTCCAGGCAAGACAATAAACGGGTGATGAACAATGTCGAATGCAATAGTGTTAGTAATAAATGGTCAACACTCAGCAGGCATAATAATATGAGGTAGGTCGTATATTGATAGGCCCTTTATTTTTAAATAATAATTTTGACACTTTGTGTCCCCTACCGAGGTATCTACAGTGGCCAGTGGCGTCACCTCTAGCGTAATTTTAAGGACTGGTGGTACATAATCATAATACTTAGTTTTGTATTTATATATCAAGGGTGTAATATAGGCTTTTATGGACCGTGCAAGTAAGAGCCCAAGCGATAGCTAGAGCAATAATTATAACACCGAGATTAACACGCCAAGTTACTCCCGTGATAAAAATATCCTCGGGAATATCATTGATCTTACATTGATGGAATCGACATTACTATTGTAACTCAGTCGATTTTCAATTTTTTGTATTAGGAGTAGACTATTATAGATATTTGCTATTAAGAGAACGGTAACATTAGATGAGGAACCATCACGACAAAACAAATGTACTGAATTGTACAGGAATGCCTATTACGAGTTACCTATACGGCGGGCGGTAAAGTAGTCCGGGGGCGGTAAAGTGCCACTTTCCTTCCGCAAAACCGTATGGTATAGTATAGATAGTGCTACTTCACGCCCGATCGTGTATACAGATCTCGATGAAGATATAAAGAATCCCTGAGATATGGCAACGTTGGCGTGCCTCAGCTGATGAGTTAGGGCAGGAGCGTCTCTACTAGGGGGTTCAAGGGATGCGCACGTTGCCATCGTATAATCTCGATGGTAACGATGCGGCGCACCTGGGGTACCTTAGGGCGTCAGATTCCATCAGAAAACGAAAATAAACGAACTAAAATTGTATTGTTGTTGGTGATCTTCAACAATTCGAATTTATTTCACGGGTTTACAACTGATATTGTAGATTAACAGTTAGAAAATCCTCTCGGCGACGTACCTATAAAAAAATTGTGTTGATATAACAATTTTCGGCTGCATGCATGCCGCGGCTTTTATTTCGAAACAACAAATTCGTTCGTCTCTATAGGGGCTGTTGAACGAATATTTATGTTGGACTGATGATGATCAGTTAATACTAAAGAAGCTAGCAAAACCACTCACGAATTTCGTCATGAAACACATTTCACAATTTAGGCTAATTTATTACCCCATTCCCGATTTTTTTGCTCCTCTCTATCTTAGAAAATTCTGTGGCTTTGCTAGCTTCGGCCGAACTCAGCAAAGCCATTTTTGAAGAATAACATATTATGTTTTGATAATTTGATTTATTGAACATGTAGTGCTTATTTTAGGCGAATCCTATTCCCAATTTTTTTCCTCCTCTCTATCATAAAAAAATCTGTGCCTTCGCTTACTCAGCAGAGTCATTTTTGAAAACATGGATTTTTCACCGATTTCATATATTGAGATTGAATGGCTAATTCTAGGCTAATCAATTCCGAATTAATTACCGATTTTTTTGCTCCAAATTTCATACAGAAGAAAACGAAACGATTTGTCGAAAAACCCATTATTCATTATACATTATATGCCTCGCATTATGCATTTCTATCAAAAGCATATTTTATGGCGATTTTATAAGACAAAGTGTTACTATCGATTGTAACCTCAATAATTACCAGCAAAGCCACAGGTTTCTTCCAGAAAGTATGCAGCAAAAAATCGTCAAAAAATCTGCTTTTGATAGAAACATATAATACCTGGTAAATATCGCGAATAACGACAAATCAATTCGTTTTTTTTAATCGAAGAGCAAAAAATTTCCAAATGGGGTAATCAATAAGCCTACAATTTGCCCAAGTCTTCCAATGTATCGAATCGGAAAAAATATTATGCCCGAAGCTACCAAAGCCACAGGTTTCTTGTAAAAAATATGCAGCAAAAAATTCCATAATTGGGTAGTTATTGAGCTTACAAGCGATACTGCCTCATGACATTTTCATAAAATATGCTTTTGATAGAAATGCATAGAGTATAGCGATAGCGAGGTGCGAGGCGAGGTGTATAATGAATAATGCGAATTTCGACAAATCTTCTCTTTTTTTTTCAGTTTGAAACGTTGAGCAAAAAATTCGCTGATGGGGTAATTAATAAGCCTGAAATTAGCCATTTAATCTCAATATATCAAATCGGTGAAAAATCAATGCTTTCAAAAATGGCTCTGTTGAGTTAGCAAAGCCACAGATTCTTTCTATGGTAGAGAGGAGCAAAAAAATGGGAATAGGGTAATAAATTAGACTAAAATCAGCACTACATTTTTACTAAGTGGCTTTGCTACCTTCTTTAGTATGATGACTATGATGAGTTATATTCTCGGTTTTATTAGTTATTATGTTTTTTACTACATGGTGTATGTCAACATTTACGTTCAAATATACTAGGTACAGGGTGATTGGTTATGGCGAGGAATATGGATTTCACGCTTTCAACACACAATATTGAATCAGATGTTGTTCTTTTTGTAATGGTGCCCTCCGCACATTATAAATTATCATTCCATTTACGGGGGGAGGGGGGGGGTGAAAATGTCTAATTTTTTTCAATGGAACACCCTATATTTTATTGCATATTTTGAAAGGGCGATTTTTCCTGATTTCAAACATTTCTATATAATTTTCATACATTCCATCTTGCATTCCATGGAGTAATACTGGGTGAATCGAAGTAACGAGCTTATAACAACTGTCAAACCCGAGGAAACGCGTTCAAACTCATCGGGCACTATATAGTTTCGCTCGGTTTTACCCCCGTTTGGACCTAAGTACTGAACTCGGTACTGAAGCAGGTACGGATCTTAGAAATCGTAACTTTACCTCGGTTCCTTGTTTGATTTCAGGTCCACTGAAGAAAGAAATCAAGTTTTGAGTTGCATCAATACGAGCATACATACATAAGTATTAACCCGAGTATTAACTTATACATTTCCGGGAGCATTCCTAATTGCCTTTGTAGGTATATTTGCATGGTATATTTTTTGCATCTAAGTGCATATTTGAAACGAAAACAAAGTTCTGAAAGCTTCTGGTAGTCACGTGCTCCCCTCCCCTTCCCCACGCTACCGAAGTCGGCGCCTATGCTCGTTACATGTTTCATTACTTTGACGGTACGGGGTACGGTTGCCGGTATATGCCGGTATCTTCAAATGTCAGTGACCTTGATCAGTCAGCCTACGTGATCGGAGTCTCGGAGGCAAAGTCTATGGAATATGAATATTAGGACGTGGGATATGCGACGAGGGATAGCCTAGCCCTTAAGCGTTTATTGAGTTCTCGGTTTTACCATAAACTACAGAAGGTTTTAGTTTTACCCTTCGATCATACAACAGACAGGGGGTTTGTTGTTTGGAGGTTTTATTTTACACTAAGAGGTGCAAGCGTAAGCAAGCGTGCAAGTTAGAAAAGGCAAATTATATTAGACAGAGATAGAAAAATTAATGTGAAGTTATCCACACTTTTCCAGCCACACTTTCTGACGAGTAGAAAAATTTATGTGATACAGAAATTCGACCGCCTCACAGTGTTGCCAGTTTTCCATGTTCGGCAGTGAAATTCTTCTTGTCATTATACTCTATTTCTCCATTGGTTGAGTAGTACTGTATACAGAAGTATCTAATACAAGATAATACTTAGTAGGAACCCCTGTAACAATCAGACATTGGACAGTGGGTAGGTAATTGTTTCCAGGGGAATCATAAACCCATTTCTGTTTTTAATATTATTGTAGGTATAGGTACACTATGTTTTTTTCACCAAGAGATGTGAAATTTAGGGGAGTTGAAAGAACATACATACATACCTATTATTCATTTACTTGACCCTACAAGGGACAATATGTAATTGATGTGCTCATTTATTTTTCGCAAGAAGAAATATAATACCATAAGGAAAACACATTGTTCAGATTCATTTAGTTGGCCGTACGAGGGTAGTGAGATAGTTATTTCCGTGGATAGAAAAATGCAACTTTGTATCCAGTTGATGTGCTCCAGTTTTTCTTCCTCAATTAGATGTATAATATCGTTAAGAAGAAAAAACATCGTTCAGATTTATTTGGTTGGCCATACGAGAGACATGAGATAATTATTTCCCTTGATAGCAAAATGCAACTTTGTATCCACTTGATGTGCTCAAGTTTTTCTTTCTCATTTGGATGTATAATATCGTTTAAAAAAACTATTGTTCAGATTTATTTGATTGGCCGTACGAGGGAAGTGAGATAGTTATTTCCGTGGATAGAAAAATGCAACTTTGTATCCAGTTGATGTGCTCACGTTTTCCTTCCTCGAAGATATGAATGGTATTGCTAAGAAGATAAAACGAAGTTCAAATTCATTTGGTTGGCTGTACGAGGGAAGTGAGATAGTTATTTCCGTGGATGGAAAAATGCAACTTTGTATCCAGTTGATGTGCTCCAGTTTTTCTTCCTCAATTAGATGTATACTATCGTTAAGAAGAAAAAACATCGTTCAAATTTATTTGGTTGGCCGTACGAGGGACGTGAGATAATTATTTCCCTTGATAGCAAAATGCAACTTTGTATCCACTTGATGTGCTCAAGTTTTCCTTTCTCAATTGGATGTATAATATCGTTGAAAAGGAAAAATATTGTTCAGATTCATTTGGTTGGCCGTACGAGGGTAGTGAAATAGTTATTTCCGTGGATAGAAAAATGCAACTTCGTATCCAGTTGATGTGCTCACGTTTTTCTTCCTCGAAGATATGAATGGTATCGCTTAGAAGATAAAACGAAGTTCAAATTTATTTGGTTGGCCGTACGAGGGAAGTGAGATAGTTATTTCTGTGGATAGAAAAATGCAACTTTGTATCCAGTTGATGTGCTCCAGTTTTTCTTCCTCAATTAGATGTATACTATCGTTGAGAAGAAAAAACATCGTTCAGATTAATTTGGTTGGCCGTACGAGGGACGTGAGATAATTATTTCCCTTGATAGCGAAATGCAACTTTGTATCCACTTGCTGTGCTCGAGTTTTTTTTCTCAATTGGATGTATAATATCGTTGAAAAAAAAAATATCGTTCAGATTTATTTGGTTGGCCGTACGAG